GGGGTAAATAGAACTTGTCTTGATAATTTCTACCATGTCAGTTTTCTCTTATTGCTATACTTTGAGAAATATAAGCAAAACTGTAGTTTCATATGCGTACGTTTTAGACATGACCGCCATATTGGTTGATCAATCTGGACAAAATCATTAACTTAATAGTTGACATCCCACAGGTGAAGCAGATAAACTTTGACTGCAATCCATTAAGCAGTTTTAGTCAAGATTTTTAAAGAAAACTTTACAAACGGCATATGACGAACGGACAGAGGACGCATAGTTATGGTAAAAGCCTAGTGCATAGCACTAAAAAATGAATGATCCGATCAACTGTACAACCACATAAAAACAAGAGTGCACACGCTGAAATGGCTCGCCTGCTTTACTGACCATTGATGAATTGTTGAAAGTCCTAAAGATAAAGAATTTACTAAAAGCATTACAGAAACTTGACACTTCTAAAAATCTATGAGAATGAGGTAAAGGTCAGATAAATCGTGTCAGACAGACATACACACTTACATTTTTTTATACATCAAATATAGTTATGTATGGTAATTGAAAAACAGACAAAATTGTTGATATTCATCCCACATGTACCAAGTTTAAGATCAGTTTTATTGACATACAAGAAATGTCTTGGTATTCCTAAACGGTAGATTATATAGACAGAAGAAGTATACACTTAACAACAAAATTAATTTCATTTACCTGTGTATAATATGACGTAATTGTTTTCATAGTTGATGTTTTTTCTAAAATTGTTTAACATTTCACAGCGGTTTTATACTTTTACTTTAAGCATCCCTTATTTTTATTTACTATGTATTTGCATTGTATCACAGATCAAATTTATTCGTTCATTGTGTGTAAATTTGTGTTACTACGTTTTCTGATTGAGTTAAGTCATTCCAATTGATATTTTATAGTGTGTCTTTCTATGTTGTAATGTTATACTATTGTTTCAGAAAAGGGAGAAGGTTTGGTACCATTAAAACGTTTAATCCCGCTGCAATTGTTTGCACCTGTTCTAAGTCAGGAATCTGATGTTCAGTGGTTGTCGTCTGTTTATGTGGTTCATAAGTGTTTCTCGTTTTTATATAGATTAAACCGTTGGTTTTCCCGTTTGAATGGTTTTACACTAGTAATTTTGGGGGCCCTTTATAGCTTGCTGTTCGGTGTGAGCCAAAGTTCCGTGTTGAAGGCCGTACCTTGACCTATAATTGTTTACTTTTATAAATTGTTACTTGGATGGAGAGTTGTCCCATTGGCACTCATACCATATCTTCCTATATCTAAAAACACAAAAACTTAACATTGACCAATGAACAATGAAAATGAAGTCAAGGTTAATTGATAACTGTCAGACAGACTTGTTCACCTAACAATCATTCCATAGACAAAAAAATAAAGTTGACCTATTGCTTATAGTTTTTGAAAAACAGATCAAAACACAAAAACTAAACATTGACCAATGAATCATGAACATGAGGTCAAGGTCAGATGAAACCTGCCAGACTGACATGTACCCATTACGATCATTCCATACACCAAATATATAGTTGACCTACTGGTGACAGTATTCGAGAAACGGATCTAATCACGTAACTTCAACCTTGAATGAGGTCGAGAGCAGGTGAACCCTGTCTGACGGACATGTAGACGTTGCAAGGAACCCATATACCAAATATAGTTATCTTATTACTAAAAAGTGAGAAATTCACACGAACAAAAAACTCAATTTATTTTTCAAGCAGTCACTGAACCATGAAAATGAGGTCAAGGACAATGGACATATGACAGACGAAAACTTCTTAACATAAGGTATCTGCATACAAGATGTGAAGTATCCAGGTCTTCTACCTTCTGAAATATTAAGTTTATTTTCGCAGCCGCCGTCACTGGGTACTAATACCTTTGTCTCGCATACTGCGACTTTCGTCGCAGGCGAGACAATAATTTTGTAGTAATATCCAAATATTCTATTTTTCTGCGCTCTAAACTTATCCATGCTTTATGAAGATCTCATTTAACTAGTCAATAAACAGAACTTTTTCTACAAAATCGTAGAAACAAATTCCTTGTCATGAAATATAACCTCACTGATTTGAACAACAAACAAACAAAAGATGACATCACCAAAACGCTCGACATTAGTTTTGTTGACTTTAATGGACAATCGGTACTGGCTTTCTTTTGTAGTCATAGCTGATAGGAAACATAAATGAAACAAAAATAGAAAATCTTCTCAAAAACAAAAGAAAAACCATCTTGCTAAGTTTTTTAAGTTCCACAACCAGATATGATATATTCATGATGGCTTATTACTCAACAATTCCATATACATCAGTGAGTGTTTGCATCTCATACATCTTAGTGAAGCTAAGATAGGAAATCATGTAAGCTAATATTGTATTTATTTTAAGATGTACTTCGGAATACATTGTATAAGCATTGTTGAGGAAGTACAGGTATTAATGATCCTGACATATGACTACAGTACAGAATTTCAATGCAATATTTATACTAGCAAGTTGCTATATTGAGGTCATCCTTTCAAAAGGTTCACGATCGATATTATGCCAGATATCCACAGAGTTATAATCTTTTGATCGCAGCAACAACCCATACTCTTTTCCTCGAATTAGATCACCAAAAAGAGACTTATTATGAATGTTGACTAACCATGAACAACAGGACGATTGCCTCATGTGAAGCAGAATATGCTTACTCTTCGGGAGAACTTAAAACCACATTTAGTTTATGGTGTCCTTCATGTTAATCGGTCTTTAGATTTCAATATAGTGTTTTATAACTGTTATTCCTGTCTTTGTTGGGTTTTTACCCTCGTTTATATCATTATGCTGTTGGATTCTCCTGGATTTTTGAGTTTTGACTGCGTCTTTTGTATCTTCAGTCACTTTTTATAACAATGATGGAAACATTTTGGAAACATATTGGCGTCACATAAACTTCCATATTGATTACATTTAAACCAAGGAATACAATTGATACTCAGTTAACAGTATGTTAATCTATCTAAATCACATAAATACTTGTATTGTGACTTCATCTTAAACAAAGATTTCATTGATTTTACTGTTTACAATATTGACATTTCTTTCTCCCGTTCATTTAACACAATGATCATATTTATATCAATTTATTTCTATTGTTTATATTCACAGTTATTATGAATCAATATAACAAAGTTTCGTTAGCATAGCTATACTAATGACACAAATTAAAGATATGACCCTTATAGATAACCATTTGTCACCCGCTTGAAAATTGTCACTAGTTTTCATACAGTATGAAAGGTTTTGACTACTTCATGCGGTAACTGTTTTGGAAGACAGGGAAAAAATGGTCTTGTATAAACCAAGTATTGAAAAATATTTGTTTTTCCTTTAAATTATGGCCATTGCAGATATGTTAAAAAATTATAACTTTCAATAACAATACAGGGAGATAAATGTATCTAATGCAATGAGCATATCTTAATTTGTTTTCATTTGCTGACCATTTTTTTATTTTCAGAATTAAAAATCCCTTTTTTAATGAGATCCCACATAAAACAAGCATTCTGAGAGTATTGCATGGCAATACATAGTCCCCTACCGGTTAAAAATAATTGTCCTGGAACAAAATGCTAACTTGATCTATAACTTGTCATGGTGTAAACTATATAACAAATATTAAGTCAATATCTTCAAGCATGACGAAAAAAAGTGCGGAAAACTGATAATTTAAGTGAATTTTCTAAGTCCAAGGGCCATTTGATTTGATATTTAGTATATTGCAAAAAATCATCAAACCGAAACAAAATTCAAAATTGGTCTGTAACGTGTCATGATAAAACTATATACCAATTATCAAATCAATATCTTCCAGCATGACAAAAAAAGTGCGGAAAACTGATTATTTGAGTGAATTTTCTAAGTCCAAGGACCATAACTCTGCACAAAATCATCAGACCGGAACAAAATTCGAACTTGATCTGTAACTTGTCATGATAAAACAATGTACCAATTATTAAATCAATATCTTCAAAAATGACGAAAAAAAGTGCGGAAACTGAATATTTGAGTGAATTTTCCAAGTCCAAGTACCATAACTCTGCACAAAATTATCAGACCGAAACAAAATTCGAAATTGATCTGTAACTTGTCATGATAAAACAATATACCAAATATCAAATCAATATCTTCAAGCATGAAGAAAAAAGTGTGGAAAACTGATTTTTACCGGACTGACAGAAGGACAGACGGACAGACAGACAGACAGACAGACGGACGGAGTGCAAACCTAAAGTCCCCTTCGACTTCTTCGGTAGGGGACTAATAAATGGGGAATGTGTCCATGAGACACAGAAGATGCCCCCGCTTGCATATAAATTAAAAAGCTATAGAACAGTAAAAGTGACACCACCAAAATTCAAACTTGATCTTTGTTTTGTGGTAATTAGCATTGTGCATAAGTTTCATAATATTTGGTTGAGGCAAACTAAAGTCAGAGAACAGAAACGAATATTTTAGCATTTTTTTTCATTTGTAAAGGGGCATAACTCTAGAACGGTAAAAGTGATGCCACCAAAATTCAAAACTTGATCTGTGTTTTGTGGTAATAAGCATTGTGTATAAGTTTCATAACATATGGTTTAGGCAAACTAAAGTTAGAGAATGGAAACGAAAAATTCAGCAATTTTTCATTTGTAAAGTAGCATAACTCTAAAAGGTAAAAGTTCGGCCACCAAAATTCAAACTCGATCTGTGTTTTGTGGTTGTAAGCATTGCGTGTAAGTGTCAAAACATTTAGTTGAGGAAAACTAAAGTTAGAGAACGGAAACCAATTTAGGCACGTACGAACGGACTGACAAGGGTAAAAATTAATGCCCCCTCCACTACGGCGGGGGCATAAAAAGTACAAAAATTACATCATTTCAAAAATATTTTCAAATTAAATACATTAGTAAATTTCACTTTATTAAAAAACCCAAAAAATCAGATTCATTAGTTTAATATAACTGATGGGACCAAAAAATAACAAATTAAAATAAATATTTTACATAAAGAAAACACCAAGTAATCATTACAATTTCATCTTTAACAAAATTTCCTTTCTGAAATCTTTCTTTGCCAATTCACAATTCATAATTGATATTCCTTTTATTTTCTTTGATATATAATCTCCTCTCTGGAATACTCTTTAATGACAGCAAGTATGCCATTGTATCTGTTTTCCCTGGCAATTTGTTTGGGTGAGATACCATTATTTGTACATTTATTAATGTTTGCCTTGTTGTCCAGTAATACCTTTACTATCTCTATATGATTATTAAGACAAGCAATATGCAAAGGAGATGCTCCATTATCCAAACACTTATTAATGTCTGCCTTGTTATCCAGTAATAGTTTTACTGTCTCTATATGATTCATCCGACAAGCAACATACAAAGGAGATGCTCCATTACCTTCACACTTTTTAATTTCTGCCTTGTTGTCCAGTAATACCTTTACTATCTCTATATAATTATTCTGACAAGCAATATGCAAAGGAGATACTCCATTATCTTTACACTTATTAATGTCGGCCTTGTTGTCCAGTAATACCTTTACTGTCTCTATATGATTATTCTGACAAGCAATATGCAAAGGAGATACTCCATCATCGTTACACTTGTTAATGTCTGCATTGTTGTTCAGTAATACCTTTACTGTCTCTATATGATTATTCTGACAAGCAAGATACAAAGGAGATACTCCATTATCTTTACACTTGTTAATGTCTGCATTGTTGTTCAGTAATACCTTTACTGTCTCTATATGATTATTCTGACAAGCAATATGCAAAGGAGATACTCCATTATCGTTACACTTGTTAATGTCTGCATTGTTGTTCAGTAATACCTTTACTGTCTCTATATGATTATTCTGACAAGCAAGATACAAAGGAGATACTCCATTATCTTTACACTTGTTAATGTCTGCATTGTTGTTCAGTAATACCTTTACTGTCTCTATATGATTATTCTGACAAGCAAGATACAAAGGAGATACTCCATTATCTTTACACTTGTTAATGTCTGCATTGTTGTTCAGTAATACCTTTACTGTCTCTATATGATTATTCTGACAAGCAAGATACAAAGGAGATACTCCATTATCTTTACACTTGTTAATGTCTGCATTGTTGTTCAGTAATACCTTTACTGTCTCTATATGATTATTCTGACAAGCAATATGCAAAGGAGATACTCCATTATCATCACACTTATTAATGTCTGCATTGTTGTCCAGTAATACCTTTAATGTCTCTATATGATTATTCTGACAAGCAATATGCAAAGGAGATGCTCCATTATCCAAACACTTATTAATGTCTGCCTTGTTATCCAGTAATAGTTTTACTGTCTCTATATGATTCATCCGACAAGCAACATACAAAGGAGATGCTCCATTACCTTCACACTTTTTAATTTCTGCCTTGTTGTCCAGTAATACCTTTACTATCTCTATATAATTATTCTGACAAGCAGGATACAAAGGAGATACTCCATTATCTTTACACTTATTAATGTCGGCCTTGTTGTCCAGTAATACCTTTACTGTCTCTATATGATTATTCTGACAAGCAATATGCAAAGGAGATATTCCATTATCGTTACACTTGTTTATGTCTGCATTGTTGTTCAGTAATACCTTTACTGTCTCTATATGATTATTCTGACAAGCAATATGCAAAGGAGATACTCCATTATCGTTACACTTGTTAATGTCTGCATTGTTGTTCAGTAATACCTTTACTGTCTCTATATGATTATTCTGACAAGCAAGATACAAAGGAGATACTCCATTATCTTTACACTTGTTAATGTCTGCATTGTTGTTCAGTAATACCTTTACTGTCTCTATATGATTATTCTGACAAGCAATATGCAAAGGAGATACTCCATTATCGTTACACTTGTTAATGTCTGCATTGTTGTTCAGTAATACCTTTACTGTCTCTATATGATTATTCTGACAAGCAAGATACAAAGGAGATACTCCATTATCTTTACACTTGTTAATGTCTGCATTGTTGTTCAGTAATACCTTTACTGTCTCTATATGATTATTCTGACAAGCAATATGCAAAGGAGATACTCCATTATCGTTACACTTGTTAATGTCTGCATTGTTGTTCAGTAATACCTTTACTGTCTCTATATGATTATTCTGACAAGCAAGATACAAAGGAGATACTCCATTATCTTTACACTTGTTAATGTCTGCATTGTTGTTCAGTAATACCTTTACTGTCTCTATATGATTATTCTGACAAGCAAGATACAAAGGAGATACTCCATTATCTTTACACTTGTTAATGTCTGCATTGTTGTTCAGTAATACCTTTACTGTCTCTATATGATTATTCTGACAAGCAATATGCAAAGGAGATACTCCATTATCATCACACTTATTAATGTCTGCCTTGTTGTCCAGTAATACCCTTAATGTCTCTTTATGATTATTCTGACAAGCAATATGCAGAGGAGATGCTCCATTATCCAAACACTTATTAATGTCTGCATTGTTGTCCAGTAATACCTTTAATGTCTCTATATGATTATTCTGACAAGCAATATGCAAAGGAGATGCTCCATTATCCAAACACTTATTAATGTCTGCATTGTTGTCCAGTAATATCTTTACTATCTCTTTATGATTCATCCGACAAGCAGCATACAAAGGAGATGCTCCATTATCTGTACACTTATTAATGTCTGCCTTGTTATCCAGTAATACCTTTACTGTTTCTTTATGACCTTTAATTGCACCTACATGTAAAGGACTCACACCTCTACAGTCACACAGGTTAACACAAACACCATGGTTAATACACCAATGAATAAAAGGAATATCCCCATAGTAACAACATAGTATCAGTGCAGTTTCTTTACTATTTATTATATTTATTTTCAGTGCTAATCGCCTCTGAAATAATATTACAAATTTTTTGAGATAACATAGGAATCTGTGTCTGAACTCTTGTATCTTAAAGTTGATATTCTTGAACACATAATCTAATCTACCAATTGACCAGTCATCTATCATTCTCTGCATGTACATCTGATGGTATTTAGGTGGTACAATAGTAATAAACTGATCCATGTCATCTTTTCTTTCTAGTAAAAATCTCTGCATAATAACAACAGAGTGTGCATTCTTGATCAAACACTGGATCATATTTTGTCCAAAATAATATGCAAGAAAGTCAAATAAATTATCATGTATTGTTTTGAATACACCTTTTTCTTTCTTAATAAAAGTATGTTCAAGTGAATTTAGTTCATCAAGTAGGAAAATTCGTGATGTTCCTCTGTCCAGTCTGCACGCCTCACATGTTTTTTCAATTCTCATTCTTGTTTCTACATTTATCTCTTCTGTAAACAATTCCTCCTTCAAGTTGTTGTTAAACATAACACACAAAGCCATTGCACAGTATTTTGTATTATGACCTTTTTTATAAAGCCTGTCAATTTCAGTTTCGTATACGAAAAATGGATTCTTGAAGAAATTTGTTATATTAAGCTCAGGATTATCACTGTACAATTTACAGAGCAGTGGAAAGCAATCATATAAATTGCAGTACTGAATAATCTCTGTTGCTTTTGTTTCCAGATATAATTCTGCTATTGAAGTTTTTTCTTTCTGTATTAAACATAAATCTCCTGACTGCATGTTACATACACATGTCCTGAAAATTGATAAAGATTCAAACTTTTCATCCTGGTACACTTGTAATCGACACGCCACAATAATTTTTGTAAATTTGTTTTCAATCAACATCTTTATTTGTTCCATAACTGATTCCCAACTGTCAAGGTCAGACTGGTTTATGGAATAAGTCCCACAAATGTCATCAATAACAAACAGTGTTTTCTGATTTGGATTATAAAACTGAATAATATCATTTGGATTAGTAACTGGTAGTATATCAAACCCTTCGCCTTTCATTTTTAATGCCACATGATGTAAAATGGATGTCTTTCCAACACCAGAACTAGCTGTAATAGTGAGACAACTGTTTTCCTTGATACATTTCAACACACATTTCGCAGCTCTGGTTTCAACAAAGTTATCAGCATTCTTCTGCCACTCATCCAACAACTTACTTATTATCACTGAAACATCAAGGAGTAAATTATTGCCAAAGATAATTTTAAAAACAATAAAGTATTAAAGCTCATCATGTATTCATACAACTTTGTATTTACTAACTTGTGACTGAATGCCTCATATGATGGTAAATGCATAATGAATTTATTGATCGGAGCAACATTAAATCTGTTCTGCTTAATTTGACCAAGATTGAATTGTAAATTGAAGATCTTAAAGATAACAGTCTTACCATCTTACTACCGGTATCACATTAACTTAACATCATCAATGATTTATGAAAATCAAAAACCTTTGTGAGAACATACTCCACGCCCCTACATTGTCACTGGGCAAAATCTCATCAGATTCCTAATTTTAAAGACTCAAACTCTTAAAAAGTCAAATGATAAAAATTTCTTGTGAATATGCACATCTACATATTATGTCATCATTTACTAAAAGTTTCATGAAATTCTGTTGTGCGGTTTCAAAGGAGTCGTGTTGACAAACTGTTACATCAGTATAGGCCAAAATTATAAGTTCATAGAGGTATAACTCCTAGAAAAAAAATTGAATCATAATTCCTGTGGATATGCACATCTACATTGCGTGTCCTCATTTACTCCAAATTTCCATGAAATTCTGCTGTGCGGTTTCAGAGGAGTTGTGATGATCTTAAAAAGTCAAATGATAAAAATTTCTTGTGAATATGCACATCTACATATTATGTCATCATTTACTAAAAGTTTCATGAAATTCTGTTGTGCGGTTTCAAAGGAGTCGTGATGACAAACTGTTACATCAGTATAGGCCAAAATTATAAGTTCATAGGGGTATAACTCCTAGAAAAACTAGAGGCTCTCAAGAGCCTGTGTCGCTCAACTGACTCTACTTTGGTTTTAGAAATCATGTAAAGATAGATAAAAATCATAACAGATACCCAAATAATGATTGAAGCCAAATTTTGATTAATATTGGTCCCGTTATTTAATAAAATATCCTGGTGGCCATCTTGAACAGTAAATCGGCATCAAAGTAGCAACACTTGGTCAGCACTTCATAAGGAACATTCATGCCATGTTTGGTTTCATTCCATTCAGTGGTACTCTAAAAGAAGACATTTGTATGTATTTCCCATAGGGTCCTATGTTAAACTAAGCCCCCCCTTCCCCCCTAGCGGCCATCTTGGATGATGGATCGACTGCAAAGTAACAACACTTAGTCAGCAACTCATAAGGAACATTCATGCCATGTTTGGTTCAATTCCATTCAGTGGTTCTCAAAAAGAAGACAATTGTATGTATTTCCCATAGGGTCCTATGTTAAACTAAGTCCCCCGCTGTCGGCCATCTTGGATGATGGATCGGCTGCAAAGTAACAACACTTGGTCAACATCTCATACGGAACATTCATGCCATGTTTGGTTCCATTCCATTTATTGGTTCTCTAAAAGAAGACATTTTTATGTATTTCCCAAAGGGTCCTATGTAAAACTAAGTCCCCCGCTGGCGGCCATCTTGGATGATGGATCGGCTACAAAGTAACAACACTTGGTCAGCATCTCATAAGGAAGATTCATGCCATGTTTGGTTTCATTCCATTAAGTGGTTCTCTAAAAGAAGACATTTGTATGTATTTCCCATAGGTCCTTTGTTAAACTAAGTCCCCTGCTGTCGGCCATCTTGCATGATGGACCGACTGCAAAGTAACAACACTTGGTCAGCACCTCATAAGGAAGTTAACGCCGACGACGGACGACGACGGACGACGCCGGACGACGGACGACGGACGCCGGACGACGGACGCCAAGTGATGAGAAAAGCTCACTCGGCCCTTCGGGCCAGGTGAGCTAAAAATTGAATCATAATTCCTGTGGATATGCACATCTACATTGTGTGTCCTCATTTACTCCAAATTTTCATGAAATTCTGCTGTGCGGTTTCAGAGGAGTTGTGATGACAAACTGTTGCAGCAGTATAAGCCAAAGTTCTAAGTTCAAAGGAACATAACTCCTCCAAAAAAATGGATAATTTCCTGTCAATATGCACTTCTACATAGTATGTTCTTATTATCTACATGTTTCATGAAATTATATAGTGTGGTTCAGAGGAGTTGCGATGACAAGAACAGGACTGAAGAACTGACGGATGGACAGACGGTCAAAAACATTATACACTAGGCAACTTTGTTGTGTGGTGTATAATGAAGTCAAGGTCATATGAACAATGACGGACAACCATGTAAACCTTACAATCATTTCAGACATCAAATAAAGTTGACCTAATTCTGATACCATCTAAGAAACGAACATCAGTACACTAAATATAGTTGACATATTAGGCTAAATAAAAATATATGTGTGGTTCTGGATATATCAAAATAATATAAACAGCTCAGCAAGGCGCAGCTTGATATGACCGCAGATGTCCAACCCTGCACAGTTGCGGCAAGCATGGACCCAACATTTAAGCTTTCAAGATACAGCTCTGAATTTGGATTGATTAAATATTTGACACAACATAGGTTTCTGACACAGAATGAATATGGTCTAATAAGAACTTAAAATGCACATCTACATTGCGTGTCCTCATTTACTCCAAATTTCCATGAAATTCTGCTGTGCGGTTTCAGAGGAGTTGTGATGATCTTAAAAAGTCAAATGATAAAAATTTCTTGTGAATATGCACATCTACATATTATGTCATCATTTACTAAAAGTTTCATGAAATTCTGTTGTGCGGTTTCAAAGGAGTCGTGATGACAAACTGTTACATCAGTATAGGCCAAAATTATAAGTTCATAGGGGTATAACTCCTAGAAAAACTAGAGGCTCTCAAGAGCCTGTGTCGCTCACCTGACTCTACTTTGGTTTTAGAAATCATGTAAAGATAGATAAAAATCATAACAGATACCCAAATAGTGATTGAAGCCAAATTTTGATTAATATTGGTCCCGTTATTTAATAAAATATCCTGGTGGCCATCTTGAACAGTAAATCGGCATCAAAGTAGCAACACTTGGTCAGCACTTCATAAGGAACATTCATGCCATGTTTGGTTTCATTCCATTCAGTGGTACTCTAAAAGAAGACATTTGTATGTATTTCCCATAGGGTCCTATGTTAAACTAAGCCCCCCCTTTTCCCCCTAGCGGCCATCTTGGATGATGGATCGACTGCAAAGTAACAACACTTAGTCAGCAACTCATAAGGAACATTCATGCCATGTTTGGTTCAATTCCATTCAGTGGTTCTCAAAAAGAAGACAATTGTATGTATTTCCCATAGGGTCCTATGTTAAACTAAGTCCCCCGCTGTCGGCCATCTTGGATGATGGATCGGCTGCAAAGTAACAACACTTGGTCAACATCTCATAAGGAACATTCATGCCATGTTTGGTTCCATTCCATTTATTGGTTCTCTAAAAGAAGACATTTTTATGTATTTCCCAAAGGGTCCTATGTAAAACTAAGTCCCCCGCTGGCGGCCATCTTGGATGATGGATCGGCTACAAAGTAACAACACTTGGTCAGCATCTCATAAGGAAGATTCATGCCATGTTTGGTTTCATTCCATTAAGTGGTTCTCTAAAAGAAGACATTTGTATGTATTTCCCATAGGTCCTTTGTTAAACTAAGTCCCCTGCTGTCGGCCATCTTGCATGATGGACCGACTGCAAAGTAACAACACTTGGTCAGCACCTCATAAGGAACATTCATGCCATGTTTGGTTTCATTCCATTCAGTGGTTCTCTAAAAGAAGACATTTGTATGTATTTCCCGTAGGGTCCTATGTTAAACTTAGTCCCCCGATGGCGGCCATCTTGGATGATGGATAGGCTACAAAGTAACAACACTTGGTCAGAACCTCATAAGGAACATTCATGCCATGTTTGGTTTCATTCCATTCAGTGGTTCTCTAAAAGGAGACATTTGTATGTATTTCCCATAGGGTCCTATGTTAAACTAAGTCCCCCGCTGGCGGCCATCTTGGATGATGGACCGACTGCAAAGTAACAACACTTGGTCAGCATCTCATAAGGAACATTCATGCCATGTTTGGTTCCATTCCATTCAGTGGTTCTCTAAAAGAAGACATTTTTATGTATTTCCCATAGGGTCCTATGTTAAACTAAGTCTCCCGCTGGCGGCCATCTTGGATGATGGATCGGCTACAAAGTAACAACACTTGGTCAGCACCTCATAAGGAACATTCATGCCATGTTTGGTTTCATTCCATTCAGTGGTTCTCTAAAAGAAGACATTTGTATGTATTTCCCATAGGGTCCAATGATAAACTAAGTTCCCCGATGGCGGCCATCTTGGATGATGGATCGGCTACAAAGTAACAACACATGGTCAGCACCTCATAAGGAACATTCATGCCATGTTTGGTTTTATTCCATTCAGTGGTTCTCTAAAAGAAGTCAGTTGTATGCATTTCCCATAGGGTCCTATGTTAAATTAAGTCCCCCGATGGCGGCCATCTTGGATGATGGATCGGCTACAAAGTAACAACACTTGGTCAGCACCTCATAAGGAACATTCATGCCATGTTTGGTTTCATTCCATTCTGTGGTTCTCTAAAAGAAGTCATTTGTATGCATTTCCCATAGGGTCCTATGTTAAACTAAGTCCCCCGCTGGCGGCCATCTTGGATGATGGATAGGCTACAAAGTAACAACACTTGGTCAGAACCTCATAAGGAACATTCATGCCATGTTTGGTTTCATTCCATTCAGTGGTTCTCTAGAAGAAGTTCAAAATGTAAAAAGTTAACGCCGACGACGGACGACGCCGGACGACGACGGACGACGGACGACGGACGCCGGACGACGGACGCCAAGTGATGAGAAAAGCTCACTCGGCCCTTCGGGCCAGGTGAGCTAAAAATTGAATCATAATTCCTGTGGATATGCACATTTACATTGTGTGTCCTCATTTACTCCAAATTTTCATGAAATTCTGCTGTGCGGTTTCAGAGGAGTTGTGATGACAAACTGTTGCAGCAGTATAAGCCAAAGTT